TGTGTAGCACTACATAAATGTAGGCTGGATGTGCTATTTTATTTCATGCCCAAATAAAAATTGCCAGTATTCTGCACGCAAAACCTCCTATATTATACTAAACTCACTTGTTACTTTCAAAGATAATCATTTTTGATAATCAGCTGTACAAAGGAATGTTTACAGTATGAAATGTTTTCAAATGCCAGTTTTCCAGAAATTCATCTTTTAATTAATTGGATATATTTAACTTTAAAGAATCTAAATCTCAGTCCTACCCCCAAACATATAGAACAGAATTTCATTTCAGAAGTAAAACACTAAAATAAGTATGAGTACTACATGTATCTGTAGGCAGACTGCTCCTAGTTCTTCTCACCCTGTGCTAATCTAGATGTCTAGTTGTATCTTCAAATCGGAGTCATTGAAACATTCTAGTATGTCTGAAATAATCATTAATGTTGTCTTCGAACACTGGTTATTCTGCTCTATATCAGCTAGGCTACAAATGCTACTAGTCTTCAAGCATTTGGTATCTTAATCCTTAGAAAATATTTGGGGCCTTTTTCAGAACTTTAAAATAACTATTTACCGGAACAATCCAAGATGGCCGATCGATAACAGCTCGGGATTGCAGCTCTCAGTCAAAGCACAGAGAACTAGAGGACGCCACACTTTCAGACAAATTCTGGTCGCTCACGGAGCAGAAGATCCCAGTGGAGGACCCACACAGGCCGCCAGCACAACTCTTGTGGCCTGCGCAGCAGTTTCGCCGGCACCTCGGCGTGGCAGCTCTCGGAGTGGCAGCTCTCGGAGCAGAGTAAACAGGGCCGGCTCCCCTTCTGACTGAGGTTTGGAGGACCGACACGGGTCCCCAGCATGACTTCTGAGACCAGCGCAGCGGCTGTGACAGCACCTCAGCGCGGCAGCTCTCAGCACAGAGTAAACGAGACTGGTTCCCCTTCTGACCGAGGTTTGTAGCCCTAGGAAGGCAGAGTCACCCATTACGGACACAAGAAGGAAGCCAGAAAGGAGAATCCTGGGCAGAAAAGCACCATCATCCTTAACGCCGCCGTTCTGGCCCTGGGAACTAACAACTTGGACGTCCAATCAAGAGACCTAATCTGAAAGTTGGTAATTTCAAAGATGACAGGAGGATAAATTTACAATGATGGGAAGAAACCAGCGTACAAAGGCTGAGAATACTCAAAATCAGAACGCCTCTTTCTCTAAAGATGATCACAGTTCCACATCAACAATGGAACAAGGCTTCACGGAGAATGAGCGCATCCCAATGACAGAATCACTCTTCAAGGAATGGATAATAAGAAACTTCGGTGAGTTAAAAGAACATGTTGTAGCCCAACGTAAAGAAACTAGGAACTTTGAAAAAAGGTTTGACGAAATCCTATTGAGAATAGACAACTTAGAGAGGAATATAAGTGAATTAATGGAACTGAAGAATACAATACAGGAACTCCGAGAAGTATGCACAGGTTTAAACACTCGAATTGTTCAAGCAGAAGAAAGGATAACAGAGGTCAGAGTCCAACTTAATGAAAGAAAACAAGAAGACAAGATTAGAGATAAAAGGATAAAAAGGAATGAGCAAAGTCTCCAAGAAATGTGGGATTATGTGAAAAGACCAAATTTATGTTTGATAGGTGTACCTGAATGCGACGGAGAGAATGAATCCAAGCTGGAAAATACCCTTCAGGATATTATTCAGGAAAATTTTCCTGAACTAGCAAAGCAGGTCAATATTCAACCCCAGGTAATGCAGAGAACACCACAAAGATATTCCTCAAGAAGAGCAACCCCAAGGCACATAATCGTTAGATTCACCAGGGTTGAAACGAAGGAGAAAATACTAAGGGCAGCCAGAGAGAAAGGTCGGGTTACCCACAAAGGCAAGCCTATCAGACTTACAGCAGATCTCTCAGCAGAAACTCTACAAGCCAGAAGAGAGTGGGGGCCAATATTCAACATCCTCAAAGAACAGAACCTTCAGCCCAGAATTTCATATCCAGCCAAACTAAGCTTCACAACTGAAGGAAAAATAAAATCTTTTATGAACAAGCAAGAACTCAGAGATTTTATTACCACCAGGCCTGCTTTACAAGACTTCTGAAAGAGGCATTACACACAGAAAGAAACAACCAGTATTAGCCTTACTAAAAATATACCGAAAAGTAAAGAGCACCAACATAAAGAAGAATTTTCATCAATGAATGGATCAAACAGCCAGTTAACATCAAATGGCAGTAACCCTAAATTTAAATCGACTAAATCCCCCAATCAAAAGACACAGCCAAAACCCAACAGCATGTTACATCCAGACCTGTTTCACATGCAAGGATACACAAAGACTCAAAGGAATGGAGAAAGATTTACCAACCAAATGGAGAGCAAAAATAAATAAATAAATAAAAAGCAGGAGTTGCAATTCTCGTAGCGGATAAAATAGATTTTAAAGCAACAAAGATATAGTGGTAAAAGGATCAATACAACAACAAGAGCTAACGATCCTAACACCCAGATACATAGAGACTTAGATTCAATGAGACAGAAAATTAATAAGGATATCAAGGACTCAAACTCAGATCTGGAACAAGTAAACTTAATAAATATTTATAGAACTCTCCACTTCAAATACATAAAATATACATTCTTGTCAATACCACATCACACCTACTCATAGGTTTAAATGAAACATTGGCCATTATTAATACCCATTTTTTTTTTCAGAATAAAGCAATATTTCTGTTCACCCTCCCTCTCTCTCTTCCTCTTTCTTTCTCTCCTTTACTCATTATTTTTTTCTTTCCTTCTCTCAAAAAAAGAAATAATAAAAAAATAAAAATAAAATAACTATTTACCAATGAGGCAACAATCAGTATTTACTGGCATTTAGTACTGGTGAGGCCTTTTACAAACTGAAGTATATGGACACCATTTACAGTTCAAAATCTCTATTGTTACAATCTAACATCAATAACAATGTAACTTTTATTCTTCAGTAACTTGTTTTTAATTAGAAACCCTTTTTTTAATTGGAAAATTGTTAAATGGAATACTTATTTCAATGTTCATAAGTCTATTTTGTGTGGATAGTGAGCCTAGGATTAGATGGAGATGGTCATTAACATAGCTTGTAGCCTTACAGAGAAGGTTGTGCTTATAGTTGGGAAGTATAACTGCATGAAACACAAGTGGATTAATATTTTTAAATATTTATTTACTATGTAATAATTTGTGTGGTGGTTAAATCTGGTTTTGGACCAGAAAGGTATAGCTCTGCCCAAAAGATGACAAGCAAGCTAGAAATGTGGTTATCTTACTCTTGCCATGTCACCCTACTCTCCAGCTTCCCATTAGAGGAACCAGATTTAAAAATAAAAGTAGCACTGTATTTACTTTGTTCTGGCAGAGTAAGATAATGATAGTGGTGTATCATTGGAAATGTGCAGTACTGGTTATTGTCAGTTTTTTGCTAGAAAATGCTGTAGGAAGGAATTATTCTCTTATAAGAATTTAACAGAAAAACGTAGGACATTTGAAAAAGTGTGCCACAAAAGAACGTGAGTCACCATATGGAATCTAAAATCCCATACTTACTACAATTACATAATGTGGACAGTTAAAAGCAGCAATTTAATACCTTATAGGAATTTGTCTTAGACACATTGTTTTTGAAAAATAGAGAATTTCCCTCTTTTCTGTTTTGTTGTTGTTCTTGCCTGTCTTCCCCATTACTTAGCAGAAAGAAAATATGACAAGATCCCTATCTCTCCTTGGCTAGTGCGTTTGGCCTCCCACCATCTCTGTTTTCCAATGGGTGTAAAACAGATACTTTTAAATGAATTGAAGTTTTAGCTCATTTTAGTTTATTTGAAGCAACTTTTGAGTTTTTTTTTTTCTTGAGACAGAATATCGCTCCTTACTCAGACTGGAGTGCAATGGCATGATCTCGGCTCACCGCAACCTCCGCCTCCTGAGTTCAAGCAATTCTGCCTCAGCCTCCTGAGTAGCTGGGACTACAGGCGCGCACCACCATGCCCAGCTAATTTTTGTATTTTTAGTAGAGATGGGGTTTCACCTTGTTGACCAGGATGGTCTCGATCTCTTGACCTCGTGATCCACCCACCTCGGCCTCCCAAAGTGCTGGGATTATAGGCATGAGCCACTGCGCCCGGCCCTGCAACTTTTGAGTTTTTAATATTTGTTTTGTAGGGAGTCTATGTTTTTAGATGATTTGTTTGTAATTGTGAATTAACTGAACTAAGATACAACACAACTGCGCATTGTCAAGCAGTAACATTACCAAAATAAGTTGCTGCCAATTTCATCTTTACATTTTCCAGTTGTTTGTGGCTGAATTTATGAGAGGTAGAATGGTAACTAGAAGGAGCATTATAATTGGGAAGCTGTGCAGTCTTGCATCAGATAACCTAAACTCTCTAGGCTTTAGCTTGAATGGTTGTTAATTGTCTTAACTTAAAAAATATATTATCGGTAAAGTTAACCTAATATATGATGCTTCAATAGTATTTTAATTTTTCCTTTTGCTTTGTTACAACTTAATTTTTTATTTGAGTGATGTCCTAAATTGTTTCTCTCATCTCACACTCACTTTTTTTAAGTCAGAAACCAGCTTGATAGCAAACTTTGTGCATAGTTCTGTGTTGATCAGAGAAAATATCTTTTAGAAAATTCCAAGATCTAAAATCATACTACTTAAACCACATATGTTATGAGGCCTACGTGTACCTTTAAAATCTGAATCAATTGTATATTATCGTCTTTTTTCTAGATTCAGAGGTGTTTGGAATTTTTCTTTATGCTTAAATATAATGAAAGGGAAAGGATTATATGGGAAGTTTTAGTTTGTCTTAGAAAATGCAGACGTTAAAACCTAATGACAATTTGTGGCATCATATTAGTCATTGAATAATTTCATATTGTTTGTGAAGATGTATTATACAGAAATACTAATTTTTCCTCTTTTCTCCCCTTCTCAGCCATCTGTTGAATCTTCAAGTCCAGGTAAGTAGTTTCCATATTTTTTATGATCTCTGTTTGACTAACATTTGTCCTATTAGTTGCATAAAGGCTAGAGGAGTTAGACTATTATCTGACTTGCTTTTCTTCTGAATGCTTCTTTTCTCTGGGGAAAAAGAAATGGATGAAATGTTTGACTGCCCATGAAAGTACAGGTGAGGCTGCTTTGAGTTCATCCTAAAAATGATGATTTTGGGGGTTTCTTTTTTTTGGTGAGTTGTGAGTTACCATATATGTTTCTCACAGTTTTACATTATTGTTTGACTTGTAGTATATATAAAGTGTACTTTTTAAAAAGAAATAATTAGCTTAGAAATATTTGCTTGTATAGGAATTTCCAAGTATTTTTATTTGAGAAAAAATTTTAAATGCATTTATAGAGGGAGGGGAAAAATAAAGTAAGCAAAAGATTCAACAAGTGAATATTTAATATAAATAAAGAATGTTCTAAATAAGGAAATTATTCTTCTATTTGAATAGGATCAAGTTTTATGTTCTGACCACACATCTAGGATTTTTGTATTTTTTCTCAAATACAGTACATAATTCATTTTTTCCTTAGAGATTTCAAACCTGTGATATTTGACTCAGATCTGTGCCACAAATATTATTTTCTTTGGCCACCATAGTAATCTTTATAAATATGAATATTTTAAATATAAAATCTGGATTTAGGGTTCCCATGGTCTGGCACCACTGGGTACAATATTCCTACATGGCAGTAATTCATTGGAGTTAAAGCAATGAGGAGAGAGTTAAGTACTTGTCTTTTAGCCTCAGTGTTTACTGATTATCAAGAGAAATGAGACTGCTTTCTGCCTGGCTGGGATATGTGAGTTAAGGTGTAGTCAAATATAGAAGAGTAAGAAAGTGAACCCTCTGAGAAATGGGGCTGTCTTCTTCATGGGATATGTGGGTTAAGTAGTCTAATATAGAAGAATGAGAAAGTAAACCCTCTGAGACATAGTAATGTTTTATTTGAAAATATCTAACATGTATTGAATACTTAGATATGATATATGCCATATTACTGAATTTTCAAGGTTACTGAAGCAATCACCTTTTTGTGTTTTAAGTTTTAGGAAGAAAGCTTTTAAAAATGCTTAACATAAGATAAGCCTGTTTTCATTGTTCAAGGTCCTTGCTATGAACATGAATCATTGTACTCTTTAGGGTTGGACTAGATCATGTCCACATCCCTTTTAAATGACTAGTGTGCTCAGTTGACAGTTGATTTTGTCCTTTTGATTTCAGTTGGAAGTATCTTACCCTTTTTTAATATGCTTGAGAGTAAAGTACATTAGGCTTTGTGCATTTCCGAAGCTCAGTATTTTTTTTTAACTTTGTTTTGTAAGTACATCCTGGTTGTAAGTTAAGATTGGAAGTAATCTAACCTTGGATAAGTGTTAGATCACCATATTCATTTTTAGGTCATGGAATTGTTTCCAGTTTTTTTATTCCAAACACAGAAATTGTTTTCACAGAAAAATATACGTCCGACTTGATTTTTATAGTACTGCGATACTGCAGATAAAACAGATTTAGATATTTCTGATGAATTTTTGAGGCATTCATCCGATAGTACATAGATACATAAAATAATTGCTCTGAAAGCAATATTAATAATGGCTTTCTCAGTTTCCATTACATTTGAGTCAGCCTAGGCTGAAATGGAAGAATAATGGAGTTTGAAGAATACAAATGTTATCCAGACACAGTGGCTCACGCCTGTAATCCCAACCCTTTGGGAGGCTTAGGCAGGTGGATCACTTGAGGTCAAGAGTTTGAGACCAGCTTGGCCAACATGGTGAAATCCTGTCTCTACTAAAAATACAAAAATTAGCCGGGCATGGTGGCACGTGCTTGTAATCCAGCTGCTCGGGAGGCTGAAGTGGGCGAATCCTTTAACCTGGGAGTTAAAGGTTGCAGTGAGCCGAGATCATGCCACTGCACTCCAACCTGAGCTATAGGGTTAGACTCCATCTCTCAAAAAAAAAAAAAAATCTTTGATAACCTTGCTACATGTTGAATACTTAGCAGATTGAATGTTTATATTTCTTTAGCTTGTTTGCAGACTGAGATAGATCTTTTGAGTTAGATAGTATTTGTCATATGATGCTTCTGCCCAGGGCAGTGTTTATTGTTGTTATAAATAATGCTAGTTATAGGCAGTTATAAAAATTGGCAGAGAAAAATTAGAATAGTCATATAAAAAAATTTTCAGTCCTCTGGTAAAAAGGCTGTATCCTTTGTAGCATCTGTACTTTGCAATCAGTACCAGTAATAATAGTCATATGACCACATTCATTGGTTTGTCTGTAGTCTCCACCAGTGTAAGCCAAAGTAGAGGCACAATGTAAGGCTTTTTACCTGTAAGACTAGTAGCCATTAGAGGTGAGAAATTAGTGGAAATGAAGATAATTAAAAAGTGAGTAGGTGAGTAGACATGATATAAACTAAATTTATCTTTGAAAAGATGTAAGGTGCCTTTTCTGCAGTAGGGTAGGATTTTGACAAAGCAGTGACATTTGCCTAATTCTGATGCAAAATACTTAATTTATACAAAGCACCAGGCCCCTTACCCGTAATGATTTATTACTGGGATATTTTTTCCCTAGGTATTGACAGAAAGGAGTAAGATGGTTAGTTGGTTCTAAGGAACAAGGCAAAAAGAAGTTGGATAAAACAGGTCAGATGAAGGAGAGAGAAAAATTGAAAGTTTATAGAAAACAGCATATTATACATGTAGGGAGAGGAACTGAAATGAGACAGGAGCAGTGTATCTATCTACACTTTGTTATTTGATGTAATAAGGGAGTGAAATGGCAAGCCTTCATATGTAATTGGCTTTGTAAATAATAAAAAAATACAGACTTCAGGTGAGTTATAACACATGATTTGATGCAGCATACCCATGAGCTTGAATTTTTTAAAAAGTCAATCAAGTATAACAAGGAATTAAGCATAATTATTTTTGATAATACCCGTGTCCAATTAGAATTATATTCTGATTGGGTTAATAGTATACAAAGAGATAGTGTGAGGATTTTTTAGGGTCTTTCTTCCTAAATTAGGGAGAGAAGTATAGGAATTCATAATTTCTTTTTTTTTTTTTTTAAGACGGAGTCTCGCTCTTGTTACTTAGGCTGGAGTGCAATGGAGCGATCTCGGCTCATCGCAACCTCCGCATCCTGGGTTCAGGCAATTCTCCTGCCTCAGCCTCCTGAGTAGCTGCGATTACAGGCACGCGCCACCATGCCCAGCTAATTTTTTTTTTTGTATTTTCAGTAGAGACGGGGTTTTACCATGTTGACCAGGATGGTCTCGATCTCTTGACCTCGTGATCCATCCGCCTCGGCCTCCCAAAGTGCTGGGATTACAGGCTTGAGCCACTGTGCCTGGCAGGAATTCATAATTTCTATAGTTTGTAGGAATGCATAATTACTGACTACTCAGTATCCCAGAAGATACCTGGGTGAACTGAAAAGTTTGAGGAGAGTTTTCTCTTGAAAACTCAGAAGAGAAAAGGTTTGGGACAGAAAACTACACCTATATTAATGTTTCTCAAATTGTGCTTCTATAAAACCCTTGTGTCGTTTCCTCAAGCAGTACTAAGATGCTCTACTAAAATTGTGCTAAGCTCTTCTTAGTTTCTGGAAGAAAATTAAGATATGCTTTTCTAAAAAATGTTTTTATTTTGTAAATTACTCTAAAACTTTCGTAAGTGTTAATAACTCATTTTTACTATAGTCTGATATAAGATACCTGACTTGGCATATAATTATGTTTTTAGTTATTTTCTATTTAATATCAGTATTTTTTGTTTTTTGATAGAGATAAGGTCTTGTTCAGGCTTGTCTTGAACCCATGAGCTCAAACAATCCTCCTGCCGTGGCCTCCTTAAGTGCTGGGATTACAGACATGAACCACTGAGCCTAGCCTCATATCAGTATGTTCTGTGTGTCTCAAAGTGCACAGTGATTTTAAGTGCCTTGCCATCTGACCTGGCTTGCATTCACTCATCTTAGTATATAGGCTGTCCTTAAGTATTCTTGGAGGAACTATACTAAAACTATTTACATGAGGTTTGGAACACAATAAAAGCATAGGTGTTGGGATTAGTATACTCAGGATTCAGATTCCATCTTTGCTGTCTACTGACTTTGTGAGTTTAGACTTGCTACTTAAACTCTCTAAGCCTTGAGTTTTTATTTTCCTCTTTAAATGGGGTGATAATACCTACTTCATAGGATTGTTTGAAGATTACTTGAGATAATGTATATGACATGCTTGAACATATTATCTGGCACATAGTAAATACTCAAAAATGATTTTTTTGAAAATTGTGGGAAGTAAGAGAAGAACCCTGAGCCTTGGGCACTCCCTTATTCAGCTCTGTCTCTTTGCTTTACTTATTCTTTCTCATTCTGGAGTAAAATGAAAGGATAGGACATCTGTTAATATATAACCATCAACAGTTAAAACTTTAAAAATTGCCTTTTTTTTTTCAATATTCAGTAACTCCTTTGTTTATTAGTAAACAATGCTTTTGCAAATCTAGGTCCTCATTGGCAATGGTAAAATGTGGAGATATTTTACAGAATATGTATGCCCAGCCTTCGCATTCTACTATTAAAAAGTGACACTGTTGGGTTCAGCAATATTCCCCAACCACCGAACTAAAAACAGATTAGCTCACATGTCAGTTACCTACTAGCTTATTTTTAATGCCTTTGATAAGCGTTCTGTTTGCAGTTTTAATAAGTTTTGCTTTTCTACTCAGTCTTTTGAGTTACTCTGATACAAATCAACTACGTAAGTTAAGGACAGCTACTCAAATATTAGATCTTTTTTTTTTTTAAGTCAGGGCCTTGCTCTGTCTCCCAGGCTGGAGTGCAGTAGTGTGATCATGGCTCACTGTGACCTTGACTTCCCCAGCTTAGGCAGTTCTCCTGCCCCGGCCTCCCGAGTAGTGGGATGACAGGTGGACAGCAACACGCCCAGCTAATTTTTAAATATTTTGTAGAGATGGGATCTCATTATGTTGCCCAGCCTGGTCTCAAACGTCTAGGCTCAAGTGATCTTCCCATCGCAGCCTCCCAAAAGTGCTGGGATTAAAGCATGAGCAGCCACATCCAGCCACTAGATTATATTTTCAAGGAATTACTTAGAGAATAATAATATTTGAGTGCAGCTGTGTCTTCACTAGATTGTATTCAGATGACTGTATATTTCACATGATTATACAGTCATCCGTTCATATCTGTGGACCTCCCTTAGATAACAAAATCATGGATGCTCAAGTCTCTGATATGAAATGGCATAGTATTTGCATATAACCTATGTGCATTCTCTTACATACTTTAAATCATCTCTGGTATATTTATAATGCCTAATATTTGTAAATGCTTGTAAATAATTATACTATGTTGTTTGGAGAATAATGACTAGAACAAAAGTCTGTACATGTTGAGTACAGATAAAGGTTTCTTATTTTTACTTTTATTTTCTGAATATTTTCAGTCTGCCATTGGTTGAATCCATGGAGACAGAAACCGTGGACATGGAGGGCTGACTTATATTCTCCTCATGGGCCAGAGGAGTTCATACTCATTGGGTCTATCAAACATTAATCAACTGGTTAAGAATTGTGATTTTTAGGGCCAGGTACAGTGGCTCACACCTGTAATCCCAGCACTTTGAGAAGCTAAAGCAGGATGATTGCTTGAGCCCAGGAGTTCAAGACCAGCCAGGTCAACATAGCAAGACCCTGCCTTTACCAAAAAAATATTAAAAAATTAGTTGGGGGTGGTGGCTATAGTTCCAGTTACTTGGGAGGCTGAGTTAGAAGGATTGCTTGACCCCAGCAGGTCGAGGCTGCAGTGAGCTCTGATTGCGTCACTGCACTCCAGCCTGGGACAGAGTGACACCCTGTCTCGAAGAAGGAAAAAAAAGAATTGTGACTTTTTTCCCCACACGAAAAGTCTGTTCTTATTTGATATGACCATTATTTACAACTCATTTCATATTTATTACATTATAAACACTTTTAAAGCTATAAACATTTTCCCCGTTTTGCTGTTGTAAGTATGAATATATAGGAGTGAGAAGGCAAAAAATAATCCCTTTGAAGAGTTTTGTTTTTGTTTTTTTGGTGGTGATGAATAAGAGCAAGAATTTTAAAAACCAATATATAATAGTTGCTGTGTATAGCTTTTTTTTTGGTGCTCTTGATTTATATCCAGCTTCAAATTAATACAAATATATACACTAATGTTAATAAGATCCATTTAATTTGGTTTACCAAACTTTGTGAAATATTCCTTACCAGGAGGTTCAGCAACATCGGATGACCATGAATTTGATCCATCAGCTGACATGCTGGTTCATGATTTTGATGATGAACGAACATTAGAAGAGGAAGAAATGATGGAAGGAGAAACTAACTTCAGTTCTGAAATAGAAGATCTTGCAAGGGTAAATAACATTTAGAGCTAGGATATGAATTGGTTATGACTTTTTTGTGGAAAGAGAAGATTTTAAATTTTGATTCTCTGTGTTTAGGAGAGAAAATTGTGTTATATATCAACCATACTGAAAAATTCTGTGTGATCATAGGTGGGATATTTAAAATTTGAAATGAAAGGCTTTTAAAAACAATAACTTTATTATGTGAAGTAACAGTTCACACAGTTGCTTTGGTAAAATATGGATTATTAAAGGATTCTGCTATAGAAGGTGGTCTGGTAAAAAACAGACTATGAAAGGATTCTACATTGCTTCTTATATACCATTTGTCCATTCCAGTTACTGTATCTTTTACTTACTCTCCTTCAGAGCGAAGAATGTCTTACCATTTCCTCATTTTCCATTCACTACACAAAGTGCTCTAGATTATTTCCACCTCTTCCTATCAAAGTGACCAGTGACTGTCCTTGTTATATCCATTGTTACATTCACTTTTCTCTCTCTAGCTTACTTTTTCTCAGCAGTATTCAATGCAGTTTAACACTCCCTTCTTCTACGTTAATTCTGGAGTACACTATTGTCTGGTTTTCTTTATTCTTTTTGTTCCTATTCAGTATCTTTTGCAGACTCTTCTTCCTTTACTCAAGATTTACATGTTGGTAGTATTTAATTCTCAGTTCGGACCTTTTTTTGTCTCATTTCTCTCTGGATCACTGCTCCTCAAAATGTAATATGAGGATCAGCTGCATCAGAATTACCCATGTACTTATTTTAAAAAGCAGATTTTTAGACCTCTCCTCAGGCATACTGAATCAGAATCTCTGGGGGTGGAGTTCAGATCTACATCTTCATTAAATAACTTGGCATTATATGTACACCAAATTTCAAATTTACTACGCCGTGTGATTTAATTTATTCCCATTGTGTCTATATGCTCAGTATTCTTTAGTTTATATTTCTAGCATTAACCTGTTTCCTGTCTCCAGTTTTGTTTATCTTCCTTGACATTTCTACTTGCTTATCTCAACAGACATCTCTAATTTATAAATGTCCAAAACAGAACTATTGACTGTTTTTCCTCTACTTGTTCTTTCCCTGTCCTCTCTGTCAGTAAAAAGTGGCACTACTATTTACCCTGTTGCCTAAGTCAGAAACCAGTGAGTCATTTTCCTTCTCTTTCAGTATCTTATTTATAAAACCTATTATTTTTATCCACAAAAGTATTCCTTAGCCGACTCTTTTGCTCCACTGCCGCCTAGGTTGCCATTATTTCTAGCCTAGACTATTGGAGTAGCTTCCTAACTGGTTTCCCTGTTTCTTCTTTTATCATCTTTCTCCTGATAAATTTCCACCCAGAAGCTGTTTGATTCTTATCAAAATGTAAATCAATTTATATCAACCTCCTGGCTTCCTGTTATATCCAAAGAAAATCCAAACCTCTCAACTAGGCCAGCAAGGCCACCTTCATGATAATGGCCTCTCGTCCATGTATCACACCACCTCTGTTATGCTATAAACCACACTAGCTGCTTTTATTGTTAAGTAAGCAAGTTTCTTCCTGCTTCAAGGATTTTCAGCTTATTCTCACTCTGGTATATGCATCCCAAGGCTGGCTCCGTATCCTCTGGTTTTCATGTTGCCTCAGACTTTCCTGAGGAGCCTTTCCTGCCCCCTAATTAGCTTTGAATTAATTTTTGTTTTGTTTTGTTTTACCACTGTATCCTATTCAATGCTTTCTTTAGTGTTAGGACACAATTTGTAATTGTTTCTTTAATTTATTTTCTGTACCTCATTGGTTTCGTGAGGATAAAATGAAATAAAATGACTGTGTTATTCACCAGCATATTTCATGGTACCTTACAAGAGTAATCACTCAAAAGTGTTGTATGAATGAATGGATAAATCAGTCTGGTATGTTCTAATAAAATATATCATGCATATGATTTCCTGTAGTCCTATGATAAAAAAGAACATAAGAAGTAAGACATATATAATGTCATGGAAATGAATGCTTATGCTTTTATGGTATTAAAGACCTATGTCTCATAATTTTAGTTTGTAACTTTTTAAAGTATACATTTAGAGCTCAAAAAGGAGTTCTGTTAATATGTATCCACGTCTTGTCAGTTGATTACATTGTGGGATTAGAGCTGGCTTTGGGATTATATCATTTAGTGATTACAGCTCACTTAATCATCCACTATGTCTGAATAATATGTCAAAGGTGTATATTGTTTATCACAAAAGTCTTTGAAGAATGAGTTAAAAAGCATATGAAGGGCTGGGCATAGTGGCTTATGCCTGTAATATCAGTACTTTGGAAGGCCAAGGCAGGAGGATTACTTGAGGCCTGGAGTTCAAGACCAGCCTGGGCAACATAGTGAGACCCCCATCTCTACAAAAAATTTTTTTAAAAGATTAGTTAGGCATAGTGGCATGCACCTTGTAGTTCCAACTGTTCATGAGGCTCAGGTGGGAGAATTGCTGGCGCCCAGTAGTCCGAGGCTGCAATGAGCTATGATAGCACCACCGCTCTCCAGCCTGGGTGACAGAATAAAAATGGCACTGCTATTTACCATTTTATTTTTCAGAGACTGTCTCTTTGAAAACAGGGCACTTGAAGAACTTGGAGTCATAGCTATTCTTTAGAAGTAGAAAGCTGGGAAGCGATTCAGAAGACAGTTACTTACTTGGATGATTCAGAATCTAGATTGATTTAACAATCACAGTCACTTCATGTATTTGTGAAGTTTGCCTGTATTCACAGAGGCATCTATCACTTCAGATATATTTTTTCCTTCTGAATAACCATCTGTGGGATAAAAGGTAAAGGAATAAAATCTTGTATTTTCTGTCTTATATTCTGTATTAGCTCAAATACTAATTAGCAAGAGGAAATCATCAAGTATAGTTTTCATAATGGGTTATGAGTTAGAATGATGTTTTGTTTTTTTTCTGTTTCAGAAACCAGGATATTAAGATTTAATTAGTAGAAAATTACTAATGGGCTGTGTGAAATTTTGGTTATATCATTGCCTTTTCCTGTTTCTCTCTCCTACTTCTTTCCTTAGCCCCATTTAATGCCTGAAAAATTGCTTTTAGGGCTGGGCGCAATGGCTCATGTCTTTAATCCCAGCACCTTGGAGGCCAAGCTGGGCAGATCATGACGTCAAGAGATCAAGACCATCCTGGCCAACCATGTCTACTAAAAATACATAAATTAGCTGGACATGGTGGTGCATGCCTGAACCCCAGCTACTTGGGAAGCTGAGGCAGGAGAGTCGCTTGAACCCAGGAAGTGGAGGTTGCAGTGAACCGAGATTGCGCCACTACATTCCAGCCTAGCGAGAGAATGAGACTATGTTAGTCTCAAAACAAAAACAAAAAACAAAAAACTTGCTTTCAAGTGACCCTGCCTTAGGAAATAGATGTTAAAATAGAATTATTTATAGAGATAGGGGAAAAAAGACAGTTGAACCAATCATTTATCATCCTTTCAACTAGACGGTCTTATACCTTCTTAGATTTTTCTCTGACTTCTCCCCAGAAACAGTTAAAGCTTTGTTTTAAGTAGCACAGAATGCTTTCATCTATATCCTGAAGCTAAGCAATATTTCGGGGCCAATTTGTTGGATTTCCCAGAGTTAACTCTTCAGGTATGAACCAAACAAAATCGTTTTTGTTTTTATTTAAAAAGTGAATAAGATTTTGTTTTGTTGGTTACTGGTTTGCTTTTATAGAAGCAAAACATTAGTTATGCCAGGGATTAATAAAGTGTTTTTCACCTTACACTTTGGTTGCATGAAATGGATTTTTGATGTATTGTGGCAGAACTCTGACTTCATTCAGGAAGTATCAATAACTGCATAGCATGTGGTTTTAAGTTTATTCAATTTGAATTTTAGAATTTTCAGTGAAAACTAACTTGATAGAAGTTTTGATGTGTATGTTAAATTTGTATACATGGATCATAGCAATATATAAGATAACTTATTTTAATTAAGTGTTTTAATAAAATTGGGTATTTAAGTTATTTATTGTGGCGATCTTAGAGGGAATATCAAAACAATTCTTATAGTAAATAGACGTTGTTTTGTTTTGTCTTGTTTATTGAGACAGGATCTTACTCGGTTGCTCGGGCTTGAGTGCAGTGGCACGATCTTCGCTCACTGCAACCTCCGCCTCCTTGGTTCAAGCAGTTCTCCTGCGTCAGCCTTCTGAGTAGCTAGGATTACAGGCATGTGCCACCATGCCCAGCTAATTTTTGTATTTTTAGTAGAGATGGGGTTTCACTATATTGCCCAGGCTGGTCTCAAACTCCTGGCCTCAAATGATCTGCTCATCTCAGCCTCCCAGAGTGCTGGGATCACAGGCATGAGCCACTGTGCCTGGCCGTAAATAGACTGGTTTTCTATAAATAGAGACACTCGAATTTAAGTCTGTTTTCCGAGTGAACTGTTAAAACTCAGAGACTCTGAATGGCACAATTGTGGCAGTCCATTTGGGAAAAGAAAGGTCAAGATTGCAAGATCTTTATGTATTTAGATATATTTTTAAAAATCAGTGTAACAGCATATCAGTACTTAATATGTCCTTTTAAAGTGCTAGATGTTCCATCCAGTGAATCTCCAGAGCTAGAGAATAATTAAAATGTGAGAGATTGCAGTTTTCTGAAGGATATATACAACATTGATTATGTAGATAGAAAATAAATGTCAGCTTGGGGATTATAAAGAAGAGTTCACTGCCTCCATTCCTATATAGTTTTATCTTCTAGTCAAACCCCATTCTCAAGAGGTTGGTTACCTTAGGAACCATCTCTCTAGTTCAGTCTGGATATGGTCCCTTAGGCCTTCTTGGCTGAAAATCAGCCTCTTCTTCCTCTCTTCATTAGCATTTTATTGGTAAGTCAGTATTAGTACAACAATTATAAGAAGAGTACTATCTGTGTTCGCTAAATGGCCCTGACTTGAAGGTCAGTATCTGCCATTTCTTAATGACTAACCTCC